AGAATCCACCTCTGCTAGGGCAGACAGTGTTACCCTGGGCCGTGCCACTCCCCAGAGTTTGCAAAAGAGCACTGCCTGTCCTGACAGCCTGTGGAGTACAGACACCGGACAACACGGGACTAGAAACAAGACCCTGCTGCAAAGGTGGAGGGGACCAGGACCATACCAAAACAAGAACTCCACTGGATTTTCACTGGTACAAGAATTCCAGAAAATCCAGTGAGGGCAAGGCCTTAGGGTTCCAACTCACCACATACCCTAATTCTGACAAGTTTTAAGAGAATTTTTTTCTTGGTGTGCTGGTTTTGGCTGGGCTAGAGTTAGTTTCCATCCCAGCAGCTGGTACGGGGCCGTGCTTCAGTTTTGTGCTGCAAACAGGGCTGATACCCCAGGGATGTTTCAGTTATTGCTGAGCAGCTCTTACACTGAGCCAAGGCCTCTTCTGCTCCTCACACCACCACAGCTGGGGGTGCACACGAAGCTGGGAGGGGACAGAGCCAGAGCAACTGACCCCAGCTGACCAGAGGGATATCCCAGACCACAGGACATCATGCCCAGCAAGTAAAGCTGGAGGAAGGAGGAGGACATTCAGAGTGATGGCACTTGCCAAAGTGACCATTACCTGTGGTGGAGCCCAGCTTTCCTGGAGATGGCTGAACACCCACCTGCCATGGGCAGTGGCCAAACAATTCCTTGTTGTGCTTTGCTTGTGCACGTGGCTTTTGCTTTACCTGTTAAACTGTCTTCATCTCAACCCATGAGTTTTCTCTTTCTTAGAGAATCTCTTCTGATTCTCTCCCCCAGCTCACGGTGGGGAGCAAGCAAGTGGTTGTGTGGGGCTTTGTTGCTGCCTAGGGCTGAACCACAACACGGTGTCACCACGGTCCCTACGGAGGATGATGCCCACCGAGCAGAACAGGAAAAGGCATTGTTCAGTGCACTCTCAGCTGAATGCATTTGCTTCCACTTGTATTAGTGTTGTGAGTATTTGACTAGCACTATATTTGATGTTTATTGTGTCTCATCAAAAGGCTCCACTGTCTTCCAGTCACTCAATTTGATTATACAAAGCAGCTCACATTAATGACGCAATGGACATAACCAGGCATTTATAAGTCTAAAAACAGGAGTAATATAAATCATGACATAAATAATATAAATTCCAGAAATATTTTTTTCAGATCTTCTAGAGATAATATTTGGACTACTTATCACCATCAGCAGAAGGTAGATTTACATTGCTTACACACTCATCCCATTTTAATGCACACAGCAGAGGGGGCTGCTGAAAGAAGCAGAAGCCTTGGCAACCAAAGCACAGTCTCTCAACAGCCCCCAGTGTGCACGTGTTCCATTATTTTCCCTTGTACCAGTTAGAGAAAGCCAGTTCAGGTATTATAAAATGGGCTACCATAACCTGTTCCATTTTGCTGTGCAGGCACAGGCATTTCAGGCAAAGATCAGAGGTGCCCCAAAGTGTGTGCCGTGGGCACGGCTTAAGAGTATGATTCTGTTCCCAAAACAGATTTAGAATGCCTACCTCTGAAGCCAAATAGTTCTAATAATAGAATACAGCAGCTTCTGGAAACATTAAAACTGCACCATCTCAGCTGTGTGAGCAGAGACAGCAAGTCCAACACCTCTGGGACATGTCCTGTTTTTCACTTTATCTATATCAACATTTTCAGGACATCAGCTTGCAAAAAAACCACTGTTAAAGCAGCAAAAAGAGTTTCCTTTAAAATTTGATTAATGTAATACGAATGTTCAAACAAAACCAGTTACTATCCAACTTCCTGGAGTCTTTGTGGCAGTTAAATAAATTTACTCATGCAACTAGGCTGTTATCAGGACCACATAATATAAATCCAGAGTGAAAAGAAATCTTTCTACTCCTGTATATCCTCTTATACCTTTCTAGGCTCCCACCTGGGACCCTAACAATCTGATTCCCTTAGCATCCTCTTCTCTATTTATGGGTCATAAAAGATTACCCTGTTTTCCATGTGAATTGTTCATGCTGACCAAGAATGATCTGCATCAGGAAAAAGAAAAGAAATTATGACAGAAAACTGAAATACCCTTTGTTTCTGAAAGGGTAATAAGAACTCACAAAAACATTAACTGAGTAAGAAACAAACTGTTTTGTCTTTATCCAGTGACTATTCCAATGCACAATATTTAACTCCACCAGTACATTGTAAATAATGTAGCAAGTAATGGGAATATTCAGCTGCCAAATATAAGTGTGTGCATCTGTTGCTCGAGACTGTTAATTGTTGGCACCTCAACATCGTGCCAGGGCAGGAAAATATCTTCTTGGAAAGAACAGAAGACTGACCTCATCTTTCAGCTACAGTTTTTTTTGAACACCATTCCAGGTGCCCATTACAGTCCAACACGATTTTTAACAACTAAAGTATCACTGAATGGTTAAAACAACAGACAGTAGAAACCTCCAACAGCAGTTTCAATTAATATATCAACTCTCCATTTCCACTTGCAACAGACTAATATTTAAGAACAGTTTTGAAACAACTGAAGTTCTAAAAAAATTAACAGAGGCAGCACAAGAAAATGCAAAATGACAAATTACACTAGAAGCTTCCCAAAATGCTTTTTCAGCAAAATCAGGCATTTAATCTTATCTAGAAAAAGAATATTTACAATGTATCAAGTAATGAAATGGGTAGCAAAAATATATGACCCTAATATACTGTGCCAGAAAATGTTGTAGAAATCACTTTGAACAGGTTAACACTTAGGATCAAAATCCTGACACTAGTTATTACACAAACATCCATCAGTTGGTGAATTAATGACTGGCTTTCACTCTGTGTCTTCTGCCTCTTGCCCCTTTCAGATTATTGATATGTACAAATAAAACTATGCATCTGATATTTTCTCTTTCCTCTCCATAATGATGACTAACAGCTAACTCTGCCTCAGACATCCCCTCCTCGCTCCCCAGTGCTGGGGCAGGCGCCAAACCTTCCACGCTGCAGCACACACCAGTTGTTACAATTGTTTTCAGATGTAATTAAGTATACAACATTTTGGTATGAAACACATACATGAAAATATACAGCTTAAAGTATCATGAATAAAAAAGTTGAGGCACTGAGAGATGACTATTCTTGACTGAATCAAGCTGTGTTTGTGCAGATACCAGAAAGCAGAACAGACAGCACGGACAAAATGATTGTCATTTTTTTGAACCTCTGACCAAAATTTAAGAGACACTTACTGGTTTTAGGACCACGTCAGTGTAAACAACTACACTCACAGTTGCAGAGCAGAATGTGTGTCTGTCAGGAGAGAATCTGGGTCAAAGCAGCATTGCTACAAAATATCACCCACATTATCTTGTGCCAGAAGAAACATTGAAAAGAGAACAGTCTAGTAAGCAGCTGTTAGGCCAAAAATATCCTAAGTTGTCTCTATTCCAAAAATATTTGCTCTTGGACATTATCCTTTGGCTCCTCTATCCCTAATTAAGGAGGGAATTTTATAAGCACTCTGTATTTTTCCTGTTTAATCACCACTGCCCTAATATGGAGATCTATGATAATGGCAGAGAAAATAGGAGCTAATGATTTATGAAATATTTCAACATTTTAAAATATTTACTTAAAAACTTAAAAGATAGTTTGAAATGCAAAATAAAAAAGTTCTTTTTATCAGGAAAAACCACCACTTGTTTTATTCATTTGATTCCCTTTCAGCAGTATCAAGTTCATTAAACAGAACTGAAAACTGCACATAAGCTGGTTTAGTGTACAAAAGAACATATGTAGTTACCAGATTAGGAATGACAACATAGATCTTGGAAAAATTCTAGTGTTATTATACTACTAAATCCATTGAAATCTGAAAAATATGGTCCAACCTTCTGCGCACGTGAGTGTCATGCTTTGTGGAAGATTATCTGTAACATGTAAAAGCCTACAGATGTATTATCCTGTCTCTAGTAACTAAACAGTGTCTCAGTGCAAAATTTTATAGTCTTAAAGAGAGAGGAAAAAGAAATCATTTACAAGCCAACAACAGATCTGTCAGTTTTCAGGTCTCAGCTAGCAGTGTGGCCAATCAGTGTAGCACACCACCCATCAAGATCAATACAGGTGCAGATTTTTATTCTGTCTTTTATTAAGACAGTCCATGTTTGCAAACAGCCACTAACAAGACTTGTAATGGTGCCTGAAGTCCACGATAATTTTGTTAGTAACACCATTAATTCACATGCTAAATGGATATAGATATCACAAGCATGTAAGCAGAGAAATTTAAGTGAACTCTATCTTAGAACAGATGTTTAGATAACTGCAACAACACATTTTTGCAAAGAAGTAAACATACAGGTGCACATGCATAAACACATCACACATCCCTTACACATGCATGGATGACAGCTCTTAAAAATAATCTTTACAAATAATTCTTATGGCTCAAACTCAGGATAAATTTTCTTACCATTAACCCCCAATAGGTTCAAGAATCTTACAAGGGATACCAAGAGGCTAATTTTTTTGTCCAGAAGACAGTTTTATAGCAGGTTTGAAAACTTGGATGGGAAAAAGAAATCTGTTGTGCCTGATCTTGTGGGAAAGGGGGTGACAGTCACCAACAACATTTGGTATTTTCCACGCCTGAGGAATCTCACATTTACAAATAGTCCGAAAAGTCAAAAACCAAATTTTCACTACAAGCCACATTGCTAACCTGTGAAAGCCTCTTTCAAAGCCACTAAGTTTTCCCTCCACTTAAAGGCTGGTTTGGAACTGACACAGAGAATACAGCACTGTTAGCTTTCCACATTGATTTATAAACTCAAAAAAATCCTAGATTGGTATTTTGGCTCCATTGTAGTTACCCATACCATGAATCTACAGCTTGGTAAAATGAACTTTAAAAGGCCAAACAAACCAAAGATCTAACATCTTTCTACAGTAAAACCTTTAGAAATAAATAAAAAAGGAGGAAAAGTACAGTACACTCACCAGACGTGTATTAACAACAGGAAACAGCAATGCCAGGAGGGCCCCATTCAGCATATGCATCTGCAACCTTAGAAGAGAGATGTGATATTATTTCTACAGACAAAAATTAAATAGAATGTTTTCACACATGAATAAAGCCACTGTTAAAAGCAATAACCAGATACTGTTAAATACAACAACCAGGACAAAAACCTTTCTTTAAACACACACTTAAATAATTGCCTAAAGTAGGACCGCTTTCTATAATGAGCTTTAGATTCCTAGAAAGCCTGGCCTGCTCATTTGTGATAATCCTGTTCATGATGCAAGCTGCTAAATAGTTGGAATTTTGCTGTTCATTTGTCTTTCAGAGCTTAAAATAGCATGTTTGATAAAGGTTTTACTCCTATCTAACTCTATAAACATACAGCCTCAAAGTAAAGCTTCTGGAATTTTGAAGACGACCTTTAAATAAAAGAAAAATAACATTTGTCAAAATGCAGCAGCAAGTCCTAAGCAAAGAATAAAGCAGGAAAGTAGTATTATAATATTGGGTACAGCTTTCAGCCATCTTTGTCTGAACCACTGGTGCATCACAAGAACACAAAAATTGTATCCATACTGTTTCAGTCTACTTTACCTAAGACATAAAGTAAAGAATAAACTGTCTATAACCACTGCCTGTCAAACTGCTAGGAATTTTATAATAACTTAAGGATGAAAAAGGTATTATGTCTTCAAAACAGTTTTTCAAATATAATTTACATGTTGTCAGTGCCATTAGAAAACAGAAAGGCTCGTTATGAAAAACAACAGTATTGTTGTTGGTCTCTGCTCTGCAACTGTTCTATGCAAACGCACAGTAAATCCAGGATTTCCTGGACAACAGACACACTTTTCACACTGCCCGAGATGGAGATGCTAACACAGTACCTCTGTATTCTGCCTGCTCCCTGCCAAAATAAGGAGCAGCCCAAAAAGGCTGCAGACAGTAGCAGTTCCAAAACAATTCATGAGGCGTGCCCCCAGTGCCATTCTTCCAGACACTGCCTAGACCAAGACAAGCAATGGCCGAGTTCAGTGTCCAGGGGACACCACAGCCATTCCCAAGCACCATTCTGCCCAGGAGGTCACCACAGTATGACTGGTCACACCTCTCGGCTGCTTGCTGCACTGGACTGCAGCAATCCATTAGAGCTTCCTGCACATTAGAAACCCCTGTGGTTCCTAAAGTCAGTAACAATCCACAATATTTTAGAAAAGATTGCATAGACTTGAGAAATACCCAACAGTAAGAATTTGTTTTCACTGTTTAACTTGCAGCCACAATTTTAAATCTAGAGCCATGCTGTATAAGCAAGGTCTTCAACTAAGCCCAGTTACTAATTTTTAGTGAGAACAACAGCAAGGTACAAGGCCCATGACATAAATCACACAAGCCCATACATTAATGTGTAGAAAGCTGTGGGCATTCTCATCTCTTACTGAGCCAAATCATGTTGCTAAGCCAGACCAAAACCACTAGTACAAAACAACCAAAGGTATGTAGCTCAACACCAAAGATTTAAGCCCTGACCCTTCTCCAAGTGTCATTTTCCAATCCAACCAAAATGCCTTTCCAATCAGATATATATCTGAATAATTTATGACTTAAACTGTGATTAATTTCTAAAATAAATCATGCAAGTAGACAGAAAGACAGTAGGGAAGAGGCATTACCTGAAGAGAATCATTGCAATCCGACATGGAGGACAGGCAAGAAGAAAAATCTGAAATGTTAGCAAAAAATTAAATTAATGACATGATCTCTTTTAGACTCCATTTTCTGTACCTTGCTTTCCCAGTTCTGTATGTCACAAACCACTTCTAACCTGAAAAACTCTTTTACAGCAGAGCTAGAGAAGACTAAAAATCTTGAACAAATTCAAAGGCTCACACATCACCTACACACATAAGGACATAAGCAGTATGAGCAGCATCCAGGGCTCAGCTTCTGCCAGTGCCTAAGAAACAAATCAAATTCTAGCCTGTTTGATATAGTCATCATAAAAGGTCCCTCGTAAAAAGCAAATTACTGTATTAGCAATCATTTTACTACAGTAGCTGCCTTAGCCCTTAGTGATGACAATGTCCTTGCTGTGGTAAAGGCCAAGGAGCTACAATGACAATGCTCCACTGTAGCAGTGCAGGACTTGGCTCTTGAAGATCTCACACGAGATGGCTGTCTATAAAAGGCTCCTAGTGCTTCCCAAAAAGAGGCTACCACAGTATGCATAAGCTTAGTAGTCACCTTTAAATATGGCCAGTGCTACATTCAAGGTATTTTTAAAGCACTGTAAAAATGTCACCAATTATTAGCTAGCTGTTTCACAAGACCAAAAGTAACAGAAAATAACTGGAGCAGCATGTTTGGTTTTCTTTAAAGGCCACACTCCCACCATAAATAGAATCCAATTTAAATTTTGACTTGCAACAATGCTCCTCTAAAATTCAGAGGATAACCAAAATATTTTGATACTTTTGTCCAAAACCTCTCACAGCAACTTAAAAAGCTTTCTTACAGCAAGTCTTGCTTTAGATATTAAGAGATCACTACATAACAGTTTGGTGGTAAAAATTCTCATTTTTATATTGTCCACTACTGCAAAGGAGGTCTTTGGCCTACTGTCTGAGAAGCATTTCAGAGCTGTTGCTAACATAAATTCACAATAGCTTGCTTCACTGCTACCCTACAAAACGAATTAAATCCCTTCAAGTGAGAACAGTTAGAGAACATGTCTGCTTTCAGGACAAGTGAGATCAGACAATTCACCAAACACACTTCTTTGAAGTGTTGCAGGGCTGGTAAGAGGCCTCTGATGTATATTAAAATTAGTTACTACTATATCACACACTTGCTGCAGCAACAGTAGAAATGTTGAAGCCTAGATCATACTACTGAGCCCTTGCATATAAAAGGGGCTTGCTGTCGTTACCATCAAATAGATGTAAAAATTGCAAAGATATTATTTCCAGTGCAACATATAGCCATTTATTCCTCTGATCCATTTATTTGTTTAATTCAGGTCAGTCTCAGTAACAGACATGAACGTGCACACAAGTGACTTAAAAAGAGCATACACTGTTCCTTTTAAGTCACACAGAACCAATAAATGCACAAGGAAGAGGCAGCAATTTAATTTAACCAGACGTACCTCAAGACATTTTCTTAGTGAATACTTTTAAAATCTAATCAGAGTTTCTCTGAAGTCTTGTATTTAAAAAGCAAGTTGTTTAAACTCATCCAGGCAGGTTAAGGAGGAAGAAAACATAACTGATGCACGATGACAATCACAATCCACTAAGGAAACACCTGACGAGAGGCCCACACACCACCTTGCACCCAGGACTCAGGCGGCTCCTGGGAAAAGTGTCCAGCACTTACTGGCCTTCACTGCTCCAGCTCTGCAGACTGCTGCAGGAAACTTCGTTTACTAACTAAACTCAGATTCCTTGAATTGTGGACTGTACTTTCCGTTCTTTGCAGACCATTAACATCTTCTATAGGTCTCTTAATGACCATTTCTTTCCCATGTTGCTTGTATGTATTCATAAACTTTTTGAACACTCTACGTTATATGTCAGCAAAAGGCGACACATTTAGAGTCTCACTAGTTCATGAAGAGGTTTAAATTCAGATTATTTTATGATTTCCTCTAAATTCAGAAATCTGACAGAAGGTACATATTACTTTTGAAGCATAGTTCACAGCTTCATGGAAGAAACCCTGCTCTTCCA